TGGGAAGGGAGGGGAGGGGGGATAGTAGAGGATAGAAAAGGCAGCAGAATACAACAGTCACTAGTATGGCAATATGTAAAAACGTGGATGTGTAACCGATGTGATTCTGCAATCTGTATACAGGGTAAAAATGGGAGTTCATAACCCACTTGAATCAAATGTATGAATATGATATGTCAAGAGCTTTGTAATGTTTTGAACAACCCATAATTTAAAAAAAAAAAAAAAGAAAGAAAACGAAAGAAAGAAAGAAAGAAAAGAAACAGCTCCCAGCAAATCGGGAGAAACTAATCAGAAGCCGCTCCAGGCCCTTCCTGCCCAAGATTACTCCTCAGGCCCATCTGCCCCTCACCATTTGGGTCTCCTCACCTACATTCTATCACTGCAAGATAACAGAACAAAGGACAGGAACACTGACAGAAATGTGGGAAAGCTGAAAGAAGACCTTAGCTATAAAAGAGGGAAGACCTCCCCCCTTCCATGGATTCCACCTGTTGGGTCCCCTTCTTCCTCCAGGGAGAAGTCTTTTCTGCTATCCTTTAATAAAGCTTCTATTTTCCATTCTAAACTTGTCTCGTTGTGCTTCTCTGGTGTTATACTTCAGCATTGGGGAAGCAAGGACTCGTCAACGGTAACAAGGAGGTCTATCCTGGTGTGTGTGTGTGTGTGTGTGGTGGGGGGGCACGGGAAGTTCCCAAGACCAGATCTATTCCCTTAATGGCTGCTATGTGCAACACAGTCCACACACAGCCCAAGGACACCTCTCAACACCTAGAGGTCCCACATCCTTGGATTTAAACCCTGTGTTCATTTTCCTTACTTCCCTCTCCAGGGCCTATTGCCTGTGTTGTTGACACCCCATTTATCCACTTGTATTCATCACTTGCTGATGCTATCTATGCTGCCCTCTTGCTGTGTACAGGACAGGAAAGGCTCCCCACTTAACTTTCTTGTGTTTGTTTGCCAACTCCAGGGCTGTCTGATGCCTTCTTACTACATCTGCTTATGCCCCCACCTCTCTAAGGACTATTTCTATAGAATGACTTTATGCCAAACTCCTCAATCCCATAAGCTCCCCCATCACCAACCTCATCTGGTTATTTCTTATTCTTTCTTTTCTTTTTTTTTTTTTTTTGTTTTTTACTGGGGATTGAACCCAGGGGCACTCTACCATTGAGCTACATCTCCACCCAGTGAGGAAGTTGCCCAGGCTGGCCTTGAACTTCTGATACTCCTGCCTCAGCTTTTGGAGTTATTGGAATTATAGGTGTGTGCTGCCATGCCAGGCTCTGTCTTTATTTCCAAGTCAGGCTAAAAGTTTCTTTCTAGCCACCATTTGGCCTCATTCTATAAATCTTGGTTCAGTTTCAGTAATTGAAAATTAAATTTATTTTTTTTTAGAGAGAGAGAGAGAGAGAGAGAGAGAGAGAGAGAGAGAGAGAGAGAAACTTTTTAATATTTATTTTTTAGTTTTCACTGGACACAACATCTTTGTTTGTACATGGTGCTGAGGATCGAACCCAGGCTGCATGCATGCCAGGCAAGCACGCTACCGCTTGAGCCACATCCCCAGCCCCAAATTAAATTTATTTTTAATGATTTCTTTGATTTATTGGTAATTTAGTTTAACTCCCCTCTTCAGAGTTCCTGAGATTCAGAAGTTTTTTCTTCCCTTTTTGTGATGATTTTTATTTAAACTTTTGTTTATTCAAACTAGAAATTTCTTCTTTAGATGTATATGGAATTTAATAACTTTTAGCTTTTCTTTTGGCACTAATTTTAGGGTGTTATCTCTGGGCTTTATACTATAGGTTTAGATCTGAAGTATATTTATTCACTAATGTTTCTCAGGTCAATTTCTCTGTCTCATCAGTGACATAGTGGCTTTTAATTCCAAAGTTTTTGGTTCCAATTTTCTTCCTTTTTACTGATTTTTTTATCTGATATGTTAAGTTTTTTTTTGTTTTTGTATTGGGGTACTGGGGATTAAACTCGGGGGCACTGAACCACTGAGCCACATCCCCAGCCCATTTTTATACTTCTTTAAAGACAGGGTCTCAAGAAGTTACTTAGGGCCTCCCTAAGTTGCTGAGGCTAACTTTGAACTTGCAAGTCTTCTGCCTCATCTTCCTGAGCTGCCCAGCCTGCTATGTTAATTTTAACCAGATATGTGGTCCAGATGAACATAACTAGATTTTTTTTCCTGCATTGGTGATTAAAATATAGATAAATTGTCACATGTCAACCCAGATAATAATACAGGAAATAGAACTCCTCAGAATATTTATCACAGGTGGCTCTGAGACAAGGCAAACTCAGTCCAGGATGTTATCTTTGTACCTGGTACATAGTGGTCAGTAAATACTGTCTTTGATTTAAATGAGTGCAGCTATAAATGTTTTCTTAGGTGTTTTGTTGATGTGTATTCATTCCTGTGGAATTTAAGAGATACTGCCCGCTTCCCTGCTTGTTCTGTTTTTCCAGACTCCCATTATCATCTGACCCATTCTTGTATTATGCTTAATTTATTACAATACTCTGTCAGCCTGGATCTGTCTCTTCTACCAGTGTATAAAGCTGTCTACATAGGATCTAGTTTATCCCTCATCCTCACTCGTCTCCTTGTCCATCTCTTTCTGAAGTTTTCTTATCCCTTCATTTCATTTGTGTTCCTCACTGCCCAGACTCAGATCTAGCTTTAGTCCCTACTGAGTTCTTTTGTAAGCTTTCCATATTGGTAGTTACTAAATCCTTGATAAGGTTATTTTTTTTAATATTTATTTTTTAGTTTTCCGCGGACACATCTTTGTTTGTATGTGGTGCTGAGGATCCAACCCAGGCCGCACACATGCCAGGCAAGTGCGCTACCACTTGAGCCACATCCCCAGCCCTTGATAAGGTTATTGACCTAAGCTGGAATAGGGATCTAGCTGATCCTCCTTTCTAAGCACCCACCCACTGGTTAATATTATCAGAGGCTGATATTTAACATGCAAACTTTGGCTTTTACTTATCCAGGAGAGAAGTTGTTGAAGAAATCTAGAGGGTGTGCAAAAATTTCAGAATAATCTTTGAGCAACATGATGCATGTAATTTTGGAAGCTATGGCAAGTGGACTGCAAGTTCAGGGCTTTAGTTTGGGCAATTTAGTGAGGATCCATCTCAAAATATAAAAGAATTTGGAAGTAGTTCAGTGGCAGAGCACTTGCCTAGCATACATAAAGCCATGAGTTCAATCGTCTGTATTAAAAGAAAAAAAATCATTTGAATATGTGCACTATGATAGGGTCCTGAAGATTCCTGGAATTGGAACCTTGGGAAGAATGATTACCAGGAAATAATGGATATTGAGAAAAAAAAAGATAAAATCACTTGATATTTAACAATTCAGGGAAAGTTCCTAAGGGATTCCTTCCAGAGACTTACTCTCATAAACTAGGCCCTCACCTCCTACCAAGGCTACAGATTGGTGGGTGTCAATGAGGTTGATATAAGAAGATCAGATCTATTCATACCTTTGGGACTATGGGTACAAAATTTAAGGGGGCAAGAAAAAAAA